ATACCATGTTCATGGAATAGAAAACTCAACATAGTAAAGTTATCAATTCTTCCCAAACTGACATACAGTATTATTCTACTGATGTAGGGGGTGTAGTCATATCAACATGTTGATTCCTGATAACAGTAATTTTTTTGCCTCCTTTTTTTGTCAGTATTGCTAGAAGTTTACCACAATATCTATCAAAATCCCTGAAAGATGTTTTTGCAGGTATGGCCAAAATTATTTTAAAAATTATATCAGGAGGCAAAGGAACTAGAATAGTTGAAAAAATTTTAAAAGAGAAGAGTAAAGTGAGAAGAATAATTCAAGCTTATTTTAAGACTAGTTATATAACCATAATAATCAAGACTGTGGTATTGACAGAGAGACAGACACATGACAACTAGGACAGAGAATCCAGAAAAGAATATCTTTATAAATATTCCTGACTGATTTTTGAGAAAGACAAACAAACCATCTTGACCTAAGTCTCCAAGTCTCATACCTTATATAAAAAAATTAAGTGGAAATGTATTTCACATTCAAATACAAAATGTAAAACTTCGTAAATAAATTATAGAAGAAAATCTTCTGGTCATAACAGAAAAGTGTTCTTAGATTTCAAACCAAAAAGCATGATCTGTACATGTAAAAATTGACAATTTAGAGTTCAGTAAAATTCAATATTTTTGTTCTATGAAAGACCTATGAAGAAGATGAAAAGACAAGTTATAGTATAGGAGAAAACATTTATAAACTACATAAGTGACAAAGGGTATTACTAGAATATGTAAAGAACTCACAAAATCCAATAGTAAAAAAAAAAAAAATCCAGCTAAAACATAGACAAAAGGCATCAACCAAAGAGGTTATAAGGAAGCAAATAAACATACAGAGAGATGTTCAACATGATTTGCCACTGGAGTAATATAAATTAAAGCCAGAAGGAGATATCACTACAAACCCATCAGAAGGCTAAAATAAAAAATTAGTGACAGCACTACATTGAGGAAGGGTTGTGAAGAGACTAGATCACTCTTCTGCAAGCTGATAAGAATCAAAAACAGAAAAGAGTTTGGTGGTTTCTTTAAAAACTTAATAAGCAACTACCATATGATCCAGTAATTATACTCTTGTGCACTGATTTTAGAGAAATGAAAACTTAAGTTCACACAAAAACCTACACATATTTGTTTACTGAAGCTTTATTTGTAACAGCCCCAAACTGGAAATAACCCAGATGTCCCTCAACAGGTAAATGGTTAAACAAACAATAGTACACCCATCCATACCAAGGAATACTACTCAACAATGAAAGGAAGCACTATTAATACACACAGCCTGGATGAATCTCCAAAGAATTAATAAGGAGCCATTCCTAAAAGTTTACATACTGGTTGATGCCATTCCTGGAATGAAAAAATTATAAAAATGAAGAACAATTAGTAGTTGGTGGGAGTTAATGAGGAAGCGGAGTGAGAGCAAAGTGGGCGGGTATAAAAGGCAACATGAAGGCTCCTTGTAGGGATGGAAGTGTTCTGTATTTGACTGTCAATGACATCCTGGTTCTGATAGTGTATTACTGTTTCCCAAGATGTTACCATTGGGGGAAACGGGGTAAAAGTGTACAAGAGATCTCTCTGTGTTATTTCTTATGTTTATATGTGAATCTACAGTTGTCTCGAAAGGAAAAGTTTAAAGAAAACAGATTGGTACTTGCTTCTCTTTTAGTTTAGAGAACATCCCCTGAGTTTTCCCCATTTGTCAGAATTTGGAAGAAAAGAGAGAAGATAAATAGAAGAATATAAACACCAATTATCATAAATCTCACGAGCAACCAAACCAGAATTCAGTAGAAACCCAAGAGACATACTAAATGCCTCTGGTTGACTGTAGTAGGTATTTTGATTCAAGCCACATTAACCTTCCCCGCCATTTTTATGCTAGGTGATGTCTGCTCTTCAACAGGGATATTTGATTAGAGTTACTCTAGAGCAATGATGTTAAATGCCACAACCACTGACCACATGTGGCTATTGAGCATGTGAAATATGCCTCGCCTGAATTGAGATATATCATAAATGTAAAATATACACCTGATTTTGAATAATAATAAAAGATTGTAAAATATCTCCTTAGTATTTTTATATTGATTTTTTTTTTTGAGACAGAGCCTCAAGCTGTCCCCCTGGGTAGAGTGCCGTGGCA